CGCGTGGATTTGGTCGAAGCCTTTTTTTGGAGTGTAGTGGCCAGGGAGAAGCGTTGAGCAATGTAGGGGCCGTCTGGGCTGTGTGGGCAGAGGCTCGGGAACCCGGGAAAAGCGTCGAACCATGTATCGGGGGGCACGGGGATGGCCGTCCGAAGGGTGGCTGGGACTCGTCAGTCAGAGCCGTCGTACACCGTATTCAAGCCGTCGGGGGGGCGTCCTGAGCCGTTTGGGGTGTTTTGGCAAGGAGTCGGCGACTAAGAAGGAGCGGCGAAAAAGGTATCGGGAGCCGTCTGGGCGTCTGGGCGTGTCAGGGAAGAGTGGCGGCGATGGCCATCCGGGGTTCGAAAGGCTGGGTTGGACCGGGGGAAAAGGTATCTGGGGGGGGGGTGTGGGCCATCCGGGGGGGTTTTTTCCTTACAGGATGTATAATTATAGGAATATACACACATAACTGCAATCGATTTTCGCAGACGCCTTGACTTCATGCTCTTGCAAACATCCCACCCAGCCACCCGCAACTTGTTTTGCAAAACCCATGGGGCGGCGCTTGCGATGAGTGCTCGGCGCTGCCTGGTGCATTTCTGCGGCCGCGACAGTCCGCGAATTCGTTCGCGCGTAGCGGCCGGCTACTTTGGCGCGGCCGACGCAGCCGCGGTGGCTTTGACCGCTGGGCACATCCCAGCGGGCTTTTCAGTGCGAGTCGGCGATTTGGATGGGCGCTGTATCATGGCAGCGTCGACAACGGTAGACACGGTGATGATCGAAGTGATGCTGTTGACGATGCTGGCAGCAACGACGGCACGGCCAGTGACGGCGCGGATGCTGATCACGCCGACGACGATGATGGCGTCCTCGCGTCGGTGATGAAGGTTTTGGAAAGAGTTCGACATGCGCGCGCGGCCGACGCGCGAGAGTGGCCGGCATGTTGTTACTTGCCGCGGATCGTGCCCCCAGCGCGCGCGCGCAAGGGCGTGCGAATGATTTGGACATGCGGCGCCAGAGACGCGTATGGCAGAAATCCGTGAACATGAGAAGAAAACGTACGGTTTTCTAGAGGATTCACAAGGGCGCGCGCGCACGCTTTTTCGAAAACTGGTGTTGCGAAACCAGGTGTTTTTGTATGTGTTTTTGGACATTCGTTTTTGAATTCCGAACGGAACGCCCCGGTTTTTTTCGAATGACTTCGGCATGCGCGCGTGACCACGCGCGCGCGTACAGTTCGCCCAAACTTTTGCAATGGGTTTTCGCGACGGCAGGCGCGCAAGGGCGTTCGAACGATTCCGACATGCGCGCGCGAATCCTTTCTGGTAGCATTTTACGAACATGCTGAACAATCGATGGTTTTCTGGAGATCTTGCGAGAGCTCGCGCGTTGGTTCTTTTTGTTGTTGTTGTTGTTGTTTTGTTTTGTTTTTGTGTTGGAACCCGTAGGTTTTCGAAGACTATCGGCATGCGCGAGCGACCGCGCGCTCGTGTGCACTTCGTTGTATTTTTGGTAAAACATTTTTGAAAACTGAAGGTTTTTGATACAGGAGTGTGCCCGCATCGTTTTCTGCAAAGGATGGGGGGGGGCTGGTACCGGCTCGGTTGGGATGGCATGAATTTATATTTCGTATGGACGGTGGGGCATAATCATATGTACATCTCTGTACGAAGTGAGGATGTGATAGCCCCAGGTGGGTGTGGGTGGGGTGTGGGGGTGGTAGAGTATATCAATGTACGTGGTGTAATATCGGTTGTGCGGTATATGTTGTACAAAGTACAAGCAATATATGTGGCGCATTGTATGTTGTGCAGTATATGTTGTGAAATATATGCGGTGACATCTTGTGCAATCTATGAGGTGGAATCGACGTGGTGCAACCTACATGGCGCAGCCTGTCTGGTGCATTTTTCGCGATGCAATCTATTTTGACTGTCTTGATGCTGTCCTCTCCATTGCTCGTGCAACCATCCCACCCTGCCACGCACAACTTGGTCGCAAAACCTCTTGCGACTGTGACGGTAGGTACCACATGGCCCTAGGCAGCGACACCGACGCCGACGACGACAGCGACGATGACGACGACGACGCCGACGACGACTCACCGACGACGACTCCGCCGACTTCGACGACGACGACAATCACGACGACGACGACGACACCGACGACGACGACGACGACGCAGACGCCGCCGACGACGACGACGACGATGACGCCGTCGACGACGACGACGACGCCGACGACGACGATGACGACGATGACGACCCCGACGACGACGACGACGACGGCGACGGCGACGAGATAGGAGGGACGACGACGAGACGCCGACGACGGACGACGACGACGACGACGACGGAGGAAGAAGGACGACGACAACGACGAAGGAAACGACGACGACGCCAAAGAGGACGGCGACGTCGACGAGGAGGAAAGAGGAAAAACAGGCTGATCACGCCGACGGCGATGACGGCGTCTTCGCGTCGGTGATGAAGGCTGCCGGAGGAAGTCGAAATGCGCGCGCGGCAAATGCGCGACAATGGCTCGCATGGTATTATTTGACACGGATCGTGCCACCCCAGCGCGCGCGCAAGGGCGTTCGAACGATTTCGACATGCGCACGCGCGAAGCCCGCTTGGTAGCATTTCATGAACATGTTGAACACTTATGGTTTTCTCAAAAATTCGCAATCGCGCGCACGTTTTGGTATTTTGATTGTTTTTTGTTTTCTGTTTTGTTGGTTGGCAATCCGTGTTGCGAAACCAGGTGCTTTTATATGTTTTGTGGGGCTCGATTTTGAAATCCTTCCGAAACCGAAGTCATGCGCGCGCGACGACGCGCGCGTGTGCACTTCGCTTCATTTTTTGCAAGGGGTTCTCGCGACGGCACGCGGGCAAAGGCGTTCGAACGATTTCGGCATGCGCGCGCGAAGCCTGTTTGGTAGCATTTTATGAAAATTTTGAACAACGTATGGTTGTCTTAAGAATCCGCAAAAGCGCGCACGTTTTTTTTTTGAAAGTCCGTGTTGCGAAACCCTTTTGTTTTTACATGTTTTTGGGGCACTCGATTTCTCGGGTTGGGAGGATGGGGTTTTGGGAGACATGTAGAGTTCATTATGGGCGGTTGAAGGTATCGTTCCCTGCATCGGGATACTATTGCGCGTGCCCTTCATCCTCGCAGCCTCTTCCTCGCAGCACGATAGCGGTTCCCCTCAATCTGGCGGCACCGACCTTCCCGTCGGCCTCCAACCGACGGGGTCTGCCTGGCCATCCCCGAGTCCCTGACGGGGCTCCGCTGTTTCAGCAGGGAGGGAGGGAGGAAGGGACTGATTGGTTTGCGCTCTGATTCGCCGAGGAGACAGTCAGCTTGGTGCGGCACTCACTAGCTGCTGGCAGAAACGCGCGGTATCTAGCAGCACGGGCGCCAAGGTTTGGTGAAGGAGGGGAGGGAGGAAGGAGGGAGGAGAGGGGGGAGGGGGGAGGGGGGGGGGAGGGGGAGGGGGCAGGCTCCGCCGTGCTGGTTTCCATGGGGCGGGGAGGGGCGGCGCAGGATGGGTCGGCGTGGGGGCCGGTCTGAGCGGCCGCGCGCGGGTGGGCGCTCAGGCGGCGGCCACGGCGACGCCCGGCCTCGGTGGGTGGCCAAGAGCGCCGACGCCCCCGGCTGAGCCGAGCGGGGGTCCAGCCAGCGCGCTCGCCGCGCCTGGGCTCTGGTCCGGACCGTCCGCCGCTTCGCGCGCGCCTGGACGCAAGCCGTTCTGTGTACAGGTCGAGTGCGCACGAAGGGAAACGGTGCGGGGCACTGGCACTCTTCAAAGCCTGGCTCGGCGCGCGTGCGTGCACCAGGGGTCGGGGTCTCACCTTAGTTTGGGTGGCGGGAAGCACGGGCAACGCCAACTGCTGTGTCGTGACGCCGAGCTGCATTAGCGATAGTGAGGATGACCCTTAAGTGATGGCGGTGATTCTGCAATTGGCGTTGGTCATGATTATCAGCGTTGCATGTTGTCTGATTGGTCTTGTGATGTTGGTGTAGGGGACGGATTTCGAAGAGGACAACCGCGACAACAACACATGCTTGCGTGGCTGGCAGCTCATACGCTCATCCTGCTGACGATGGCAAGCTGACTGTCTTGAGTGTGATCGTGTGTAGACCCGTTGTGGTTGTAGTGTTGCGTCGGGCAGCTGCGCAGGATCTCCCCAAACTAGTACAAACGTTGCGCATTTTCTGGTGCAAGTTCGGTGTGTCTAGTGGCCTTGAGTCATGCTTAGACCCGTCAGTTGGGCCCAATGCCTCAGGATCTCGGTCTGAGCGGGGATATTAGCAGGACATCGTGCCACTGCGTGCAATCGGACTTCGATGAACACTTCCACCACCTGCTGTTGGGCTTCCCGTAGCTCGACCCAAAGAGGAGTGCCGTCGCAGCAGCCCTGCCGCAGCCAGAGCAAACAAGAGCTGGCAATCATGTTGCAGGGGGAGGAAGAGGGCGGAGGTGGGCGATGCTCATCCAGGCGCGCTGCCGTACCACTCTTCGTGTGCATCCCGTGACGGAATCACGGCCCCAGACTTTTGCGCATCATCTAATCCAAGACTGAGGACAACAATGACGCGAAGGAGAGGGGAGGACGGGAGGAAGGGTAGAGGAAGAGAGGACGGGGAGGAGGAGAGAGGGCGACAGCTATGAGGAGGATTGAGGAAGAGAAGACGGGGAGGAGGAGGCAGGACGGGGAGGATGCGGAAGGGAGGACGACAGTAATGAAGCTGAGGAAGTGGATGAGGAGGAGGAGGAGGCGGAGGAGGAGGACAATAGTGACGCAAGGAAGAGGGCGGGGGGGGGTTGAGAGGATGGCTGGTCGCCAGGCTCGAAGCGCCGCCGTAGCCCCCCTCGCTCCTCCATTCCTCTCCCCCCCACCCCCTCAGGCTGCCTGCCCCCCCTCCCTCTCTCCCCTTGCCCCTTGCCCCTTCCCCTGCCCCCCCTTCGGGCCCCTTTTGTCACCCCCTCCCCTCCCCTCTCCTCCCCTCCCCCGTCCTGGCCCTCCTCGCCCTCCCCTCCCTCTCCCCCCACCCTCGCCTCCCGCCCTGTCGGGCCCGGGGGGGGCGCGGGGGGGGCATGCCCCGAGTGAAGACCTCGGACGTGGCGGATGCCGAGACGCAGAGCTGCACCTTTGCCGACCTGTCGCTGTCGGAGCCGCTGTGCAGGAGCCGGAGGGCGCCCACGGCACCCCTGCACACCCCACCCTGGCCGGGCCGACCCCCGGGCCTTCGGGAGCAGTGCACGCGCCTTCCTTCGGGAAGATAATTATCGGGGAGGAGGAGGAGGAGGAGGAGGAGGAGGAGGAGGAGGAGGAGGAGGAGAGAGGAGGAGGAGGAGGGGAGGAGGGAGGGAGGAGGAGAGGATTGGGAGAAATGATGATATCCTTACCCGCAGGCGGCCGAAAGCATCGTTCGTTGCATCTACATACGCCCTCCTGGCCAAGCCAGGAGGGCGTAGGTACATCGGTCCTGGGACCAGGGCGTGCACACGGAGGCCGCCTCCGGGCACGGAGCAGGGTGGGAGGCGCGGCGCTGCGATGGGAGGAGTCCCCCCACCCCCCTCCTCCTCGTCCTCCTCCTCCTCCTCCTCCTCCTCCTCCTCCTCACGGAGCTCCACACGTAGACTGAAAACGCAGGTCCTCCCAGGTGGACTCCCCAGACCCCCTCGCGTTGTGACAGAGGCTCTGCGCCGTGTTCGTCCTCCGGGGGTCCTCGCTGGGCCTCGGGACCGTCCAAGCGCGACTCGGGATGAAAAACCGTCCCAAGGGAATGGGTCTGGGCCTCTGGGGGTCGCGTCCTGAAAAAAACGTGACGTCGGGGGTCTGGGTTTCGCTCTTCCCCCTTGCCTCCGCCCCGCCCTGCTTCCGCCCTCGTCTGCAGAGAGGCGGCAGCGTTGCTGCTGCTCGCGGGTCGCAGTAGGAGCAGTTCGCGCGCTGTTCGATCGCGTTCAAACCAGCCAGCCAGGGCCCAGCCACGATCGGTTCATGTACGCCTCCTGAGATCCTTCAGCTCAGCGATCTGGCCCCTGAGCGTCTCCATGGCGACTGACGACTTCTGAACTGATGGATTTCGGTGTGCCAGGGCACCGAAATCCATCAGTTCAGTAATCCTCGCCTCCCCAGTCGACATGGAGACGCTCAAGGGCCAAATCGCTGAACTGAAGGATCCCAGGGTGCGTACATGTGAGAGAGCGTGATCCACCGCCGCCTTACTGTGGAAAATTCCCCCCCCTCCCCACCCCCCTCCCCCCTTCCCCCCCCCCTCTTCCTCCGGAACCTGGGGGGTTCCCCCCCCTCCGAAAATCCCCCCCCTGCTCGAACCCCCCCCTCCTCCCTTCCCCGGCAAAACCCCCCCTCCCCCTAACCCCCCCCTGCGAAAAACCAGGGGGGGTCACGGGTCACTACCGGTTCGAACCTCCCCCCCTTCCCCTCCAGAAAACTGGGGGGTTCACTACAACAGTTCGAATCCCTCCCCACTCGCCACCAGCAAACGACTCCCGGGTCCCCACCACCGTCCTCACCACTGCCCTCACCACTGTCCCCACCACCGCCGTCCACACCACTGTCCCACTGTCCCCACTTCCCACCACTGTCCCCACTGTCCCCACCAGTGCCCCCACCACCGTCGCACTGTCCCCACTGTCCCCACCACTGTCCCCACCACGGTCCCACTCTCCCCACTGTCCCCGCTGTCCCCGCCACCGTCCCACTGTCCCCACGGTCCCCACTGTTCCCACCACTCTCCCCACTGTCCTCACTGCCCCCACCACTGTCCCACTGAGTTGTCCCACTATTCCCACCACTGTCCCACTGTCCCCACTGTCCCCACCGCTGTCCCCACCACTGTCCCCACTGTGCCACTGTCCCGTTGTCTCACCACCGTCCTCACCTCCGCCCTCACCACTGTCCCCACCACCACCGTCTCCATCACTGTCCCACTGGCCCCCCACTGCCCCCACCACTGTCCCACTGTCCCCACACCACTGTCCCCACCACCACCGTCTCCACCACTTTCCCTCTATCCCCACTGTCCCCACCAATGTCCCACTGTCCCCACTGCTCCCACCATTGTCCCCCTCCCCACCAGTGCCCCCACCAGTGTCTCACTGTCCCCACTGTCCCCACCACTGTCCCCACGACGGTCCCACTCTCCCCACTGTCCCCGCCACTGTCCCCACCACTGTCCCACTGTCCCCAGTGTCCGCACCACTGTCCCCACTGTCCCCACTGTCCCCACCGCTGTCCCACTGTGCTGTCCCACTGTCCCCAGTGTCCCCACTGTCCCACTGTCCCTACTGTCCCCACCACTCTCCCCACTGCCCCCACTCCTCACCACCATCCTCACCGCCGTCCCAACTACTTCTGTTCCGAGGGCGGCGGGGGGGGGGTTCGAACCAGTAGTGACCCCCCCTTTTCATGATGGATCAGGGGGAGGCTTCGAACAGGTAGTGACCCCTGTGGTTTTCGAGGGGGGGGGGACATGTTGGACCCCCCCAGTGACCCCCCCCTGGTTTTCGACCCCCCCCCGTTTTTTTCTGCCAGCAGCGGCAGAACACGCTCGTTCGTACATGTGCAAAGGTGACGCACTCCCAAGGAGCCTGCGGGAGATGGGCTGCGAGCACCCGTCGCCGGTGCAGCTGAAGACCATCCCTGCCGCCACGGCCGGCAGCGACGTCATCGTCCAGGCCAAGAGCGGCACGGGGAAGACGATAGCCTTCTGCGCCGTGGTCCTCGAGAGCATCGACGCCTCCCGCAGCGACGCCACGCAGGCGATGATCCTCGCGCCCACGCGCGAGATCGCCATGCAGGTCGCTGACGAGCTCAGCCGTCTCAGCTGGTACTTCGTGCCCGCCGTCTCCGTCGCGCTGTTCATAGGCGGCGTCGCCGTGGAGGAGGACGAGGCTTATGATGTTCCAACCTACTTCAGCCTCGATCGCCAGGAATAACTTCGTGCACCAAGAGAGTACCGAAACCGAAGGGATTTCAGGTGCCGGGCCCTGGAAGGCGACACTCGTTCGGAAACCTGGGCAGCGTGTCGGGCAGAGACTCTCTTTCGATACTTTGCTGGGTGCTCGAGATTATTTCTGGGATGGGGCCCTTAAGCACGATGAGAGCAACATAAGACGAGGCTCGAATACAGCAGGGCCTCCCCCACGTCGCCGTCGGCACGCCCGGCCGGACCCTGAAGCTGCTACGGGAGGGGCAGCTGGCCACGGACCTGCGCGTCCTGGTCCTGGACGAGGCAGACCAGCCACCACGGGGGGAGCTGTGGTCCAAGGAGGAGGAGGGGGAGGAGGAGGAGGAGGAGGAGGAGGAAGGAGGAGGAGGAGGAGGAGGGGAGGAGGAGGAGGAGGAGGAGTAGAGGAGGAGGAGGAGGAGGAGGAGGAGGAGGAGGAGGGGGAGGAGGAGGAGGAGCAGGAGGAGCAGGAGGAGCAGGAGGAGGAGGAGGAGGAGGAGGAGGAGGAGGAGGAGGAGGAGGTCCCCCCTAATTAGGGGACCTGTCGAGTTTGACACTCCTCTCGTCTGGGCCTCCCAGGTGGGGTCGGCGTAGGTGGTGTCGGAAGATTGCACCGCATCGCCGATGCATCGGCGATGCGGCTCGGTGTGGAGGCCCTTCACGCCGGCGTCGTCGAGGCATCGCCGACGTCGCCGATGTATCGCCGATGCATCGGCGATGCATCGATGATGCGGCGCGGTCCTCCGACCCTATCTCCTCTGGATCCATCTGATCGTCGATGCGATGGGGCTCCCCAGCGGGTTAAGGAACACAGCTCCCCCAGTTGTAGTGGTGGGCGAGGCGGACAAGCTACTGGACGTGAAGTTTCGCCACGACATCACGGCGATCACCGAGCTGGCCTGGGGTCCGCGCCTGCAGTTCCTGGCCCTCTCGGCCACCTTCCCGCCGCCGCTGATCGACGCCGCGGAGCAGCTCTTCGTCCACGTGGAGAAGCAGCGCTCCACCGGCGGGCCGGTCATGCGGGACCTGCCGCAGAAGGTCATGCTGTGCACCTCGGCCGTGAAGAAGGGCCGAGACGGCCGCGCGCTGGCCGCCGGAGACCGCGATGCGCTGGGCACGGACGAGGTTTTGGAGAGCGCCGTTCTGAAGGGCGTGGTGCACTTCCGCTACGTCGTGCGGGGCTACCACGTCCGCCAGAAGGTGCCGGCACTGCTGGAGATCCTGACCACCGCGGCGTACCAGCAGGCGTTTGTCTTCTGCAGGGACACGGACTCCGCGGTGCAGATCGCCGAGATGGTGAGCCAGGCCGGCGTGCCCGCGGTGGCCAGCAGCGGCCGCATGGAACAGGCTTGGCGCACCGCCGCCTTCACAGGGCTCAAGCGCTGCGAGTACCGCGTGCTCGTGTGCACGGACCTCCTCGCTCGAGGGGTGGACGTCGACAACGTCGATGTGGTTGTGAACCTCGACCTGCCAACAGAAAAGGAGACCTACCTGCACAGGGTGGGCAGGACCGCGAGGTTTGGCTCCATCGGCTGGAGCGTATCGCTGGTCTTCGAAGGGGACGAGGACGAGCATCTGCGGTACTTCCAGATGCAGCTCGGCTTCGGCCTTGCCGAGTATGCCGACCGCGACACCACCCTCGCCGCGCACGCGGAGCAGCTCGGTGTCGCGGATCCCCTGCGAGACCAGGGGGCACAGCTGCAGCCCCCAGCCGTGGCTGCCAACCGAGCCCCCGTGGCCCCCGGCTTCCTCAACCTCGCTGCCCTAGAGGCCGGCAGCCCGCTGCAGGTCCTGGACGATGCCGGCGCGGTGCTCCAGGCCTGCCGGGACGCCGGCGTCGGGACCGAGAACGACAACCAGCGCGTCATGGCGCTGGGCCAGGTGGTGACGGTGCTGCAGACAGACCCCAGCGACGACACCGTCAAGTGCGCCGTGCCGTCGATCGGCGGCGTGCTCGGCTGCCGGGATGCGCCCCGCCCGCCTCGAAGCGCGACGCGAGCCGTGGGAGCGCGCTGCGTGTGGGGTCGGCACGCGTTGGCCCACGTTTTGTGGCGGAAGCGTCGCGCCAGACCTGCGTTTTCGGTCTGCGTGTGGAGCTCCGTGTTAACACGCCACGGGTTGCGCGCTGCGTGCCCAGACCCCCAGCGCGTCATGATTTTTCATGACGCCACCCCCAGAGGTCCGGACCCACTCCCCGGGACCCGTGTTTCATCCCCAGTGTTTTTTTGACGGTCCCGAGGCCCAGGAAGGGCCTCCAGGGGCAGCGGAAAACCTCCCGTCGTGAATTTTCACAACGCGAGGGGGTCTGGGGAGTCCACCTGGGAGGACCTGCGTTTTCAGTCTACGTGTGGAGCTCTGTGAGGAGGAGGAGGAGGAGGAGGAGGAGGAGGAGGAGGAGGAGGAGGGGCGGAGGAGGAGGAGGGAGGAGGAGGAGGAGGAGGAGGAGGAGGGAGGGAGGAGGAGGAGGAGGAGGAGGAGGAGAGGATGGAGAGGAGGAGGATGGAGGAGGAGGAGGAGGGAGGAGGGAGGAGGAGAGGAGAGGAGGAGGAGGAGGAGGAGGAGGAGGAGGAGGAGCAGGAGGAGGATGAGGAGGAGGAGGGAGGAGGAGGAGGAGGAGGGGCAGCTAAGGCAGCGTGTGGTTCCCACTGGCGGCGCTGGCGCCGGCCGCCGACGCCTGCGGGGGCGGCGGGGCCAAGGCCGCCGCAGAGCGCCAGGAGGCCCCCGCGGGGGCCGAGGCGCCTGCGCAGGGCGCCGGCGGCGCGTCGGCGCCGCCGAGGCCCGCGGGGCCGACTGGGGAGTCCCAGGTTCTCCCCGAGGTGGAGGAGGAGGAGGAGGAGGAGGAGGAGGAGGAGGAGAAGGAGGAGAAGGAGGAGGAGGTGGATGAGGAGGAGGAGGAGGAGGGGGACGAGGAGGACGAGGAGGAGGACTCCCCAGGGGCTCCCACGTGGACTCCCCAGACAGCCTCGAGTAGTGAAAAAATCACGACGCGGGCCCTCACTGGGCCTCACCGGGCCTCTGAGCCTTCAAAAAACGACTCGGGATGAAAAACCGGTCCCGAGGAATGGGTCAGGACCTCTGGGGGTCGCGTCATTGAAAATCATGATGTTTGGGGTCTGGGTCTCTCGTATCTGGACTCGCTCACTCCCAGATTAAAAAAAACACACACTCAGGCCTATGCCCTACCCGCACACATGCTCGCTCGTCTCGGGTATCGCATTGGGGCCTCCCGCCAGGGGGCCGCCGCCAGGGTTCAGTGTTCATTGTACTGGCTCGTTTAGGGGGCGGGGCAGTGCACATCATAGTGGGGGCGTTCGTTAAGGAATGTGCCCAGGAGGCTTCCGTCGAGGAACAACAAATGACGTGAACATGCACTTTCGGATTTCTTTGGTCGGCGCTGGAGCCCCGTGGCGGCGCCTCTGGCGCCGCCCCCGGCACGCTCCACGCGCCAGGGAGGGGGATTCAGCGTCGAATCCAAGACATCCGCGCGGAGCTCCGAAAGTTTCTGTTTATGCAGTTTATGTTTAGGTTTGTTTGTATTGATTCTTCTGCTTCTGAGTGCGGCGGCGAAATCCATGGCCAATCCACGGTTGAAGTTTCACCGCTTTCCAGGCCCTGAGTTCCTTATCCAGTGGTTCCGTAATTATCCAATGCCTTCGCCGTATTGCAACTGGCGTGGTAAGTGTGCGAGAGGCCAAGCCAAGGGCTTGGGCGCTTCTTGCTTTCCTAAGGGTGCTGTTGGCGTGGGGCAGGAGGGCCCTGAAGTGCCTCGAAACCAGCATGGACCCGACGTCTAAGGCGTTCGTGTCGGACGCCCGTTCCTAGTGCACTGGTCCCCCTCGGCACCATACAGAGTCCAGAGGCTGTTTCGAGTAGTGCGGATCGGACTTTCTGGAGGCTCCAGAGACTCCAAAGGACCCGCTTCCCTGAGAGCTGAAGTGGTAGAAAACATGCAACACACTAAAGCGTCAAGACTGGATCCAAGGGGGTCGGCGGTTCGGCCCGTTCGGCTGCGTCGCAGTCGGCTGCATTCGGCCAGTTCTGCCCCGTCGGCCGTTGTGTCTATGCCGATGGCGGCCTGTCAAACCCGCTCGGTTCTGGCCGGTTGCGGTTTCGCTGTCGGTTCGGTCGGTTTTCGTTTGTGCCGTCGCCGTGGACGACCTTGGAAGAGGGGCGACCGAAGGAGGAGGATGAGGAGGAGGAGGAGGAGGAGGAGGAGGAGGAGGAGGAGGAGGAGGAGAAGGAAGAGGAAGAGGAGGAAGAGGACGGATGGATGGATGGATGGATGGATGGATGGATGGATGGATGGATGGATGTATGGATGGATGGAAACGCCCCCACCTGGGCTGGCATGTTGAAGCCTCGGGCCAGCCTCGGCAGTGGAGGTGCCACGGAGCCAGAGGCAGCAAGCGACGGCGACATCCACAAAGCCCATCCAGGGAGAAACCTGGCTCGTCCAGAGCATATTTGCGGAGGTGCCCCGACGCCTGCACGCGGACGCCCGGAGGAGGAGGAGGGGAGGAGTGGGCGAGGAGGAGGAGGAGGACGACGACGACGACGGGGAGGGCGAGGAGGGGCGGAGGAGAAGGGGGCAGACTCCGCACTCTGCGTTCCAGACAGAGGACCTCGGCTCAACCCAAGGACGAGCTCGAACTGGGAAGGCCTGGGAGAGGGCACTTCAGACGCCCAACTCGGGCAGGGACCCCGCCCGATCTCCCAAACCGCCTCATGCCAGCGCAGCACGCGGCCACGAGACCCGGGAGGTCGGAGGGAGAGGGCGTCACCCAGGGAGACGGGCCTCTGACCGGCCCGCTGCCCGGAGCGCGGCCGCACGGCGCGCCGGGTGGGCTCCTCTGGGAGGCACGCCCCTGCATAGCCGGCACCCTCCGGGCGTACGCCAGTCTTCCTGTGGCTCTGGAGGGGCAGTGTGCAGGGCGTGCCAGAGAGGCTGCCTCCATACAGAGGTCCCGGCGCAGCTGGAGAGGAGGTGGAAGGCAGGGCTGCGGGTGCGGGCGTCACGTAGAGAATTCACCTGCTGCTCAGAGAGGCCCACGAGCGCGCCCCAGCCAGAGGACTGAGGCGGAGAAGACGGCACCTCACACGCGCCATCGCCCGCTGGCCTCGGCGGACCTCCCGGGGAAGGGAGAGGGCCACCGCTCGGCGAAAGTCCGTGCGCGGTACTGGGCCCCAGGGTGAGGCGGGGGAGCGGCCGGAGGTGCGCCCCGAGCCCTCGGACCAACTCCTGGCGGCAGCGCTCCGTCGCAGGAGCCCTGACGTGGGATCTGTACTGAGCCCTCGACCCCCCCTGGTGCGAGGTCGCTCCAAGACGGCCAGTCCGGAAGGCCCAGCCCTCCAGAAGCACAGGCGAAGCTCTGGCCCACGACCTGCCAGAGGTGGTGTGGGCACGCGCAAAGGCGGCTTTGCACAGGTCCCCGTCCGGGAGCAGCCAAGGACCAGCCCGGCGGGAGCAGACATCAATCACCGCGCGCGACCGGCTGCAGAGATCCCCCACCCGACCTCGGCCAGGGACACAGCCGCGGGCTTCCAAGGCGGACAATACGGAAAAGTTCGAGCCCACGCAGGGCAGCTGTCATTCAGAAGCTCGGCCGCACCTTCTGCAACAGCGAAGAGCCAGCGCCAAAACCGGAAAGGTGCCTGGACTTGTGCCTCGACATGCCCCAGAGCCGCTGCCACCAGAAGGACCCCGGAGGCGACGTACCCCGCCAAAACGGCGCCCTGCGAGGACGCCGCGCCGAGCTTCATCCAGAGCACCTTGCTGAGATCCAGGTCAGCCTGCCATTGCAGACCAAGCCACTTGTGGCACGGCGCAAGCTGCAACGGCACTGGGCTGCACCTGGCCAGAGGCAGCACGACCAGGCTAGTTATTAGGCCAGCCTCTCGCGCGTCGGCACTTCCATGCAAGACTATCGCATGCTTTGCAGCCTTTGTGTATGTGGGACGC